TTTGTTCGGGCAGAGATGAAGCCTGGCTTTATGGTTCTCTCCCTGGGACGTTTAATGGCAACCTAGTTTCGTCTGTGTCGTAGTAGTCACTGGTTGATTGATGTTGCTGGAAGACGCAGTTTCCCTCTCTCTCTCTCTCTCTCTGTGATTTCCTCTCTGTTGCTTTCTGTCTCTCCCTGCATCTGCAACTGTTTCTCTCTGTATTTCTACCTCTATCCTCTCAGTTCTCGCTCTGTCTCGCACCCTCTCACTCTTCCTCTCCTCCAACTGCCTTCTCTACCCTCTTTCTTTCTCTCTTCATCTCCATCTCTCTCCCTCTTACTCTGTAGATGTTTCTCTCACTCTATATCTCTCTTTCTCACTCTTTATCTCGCTTTCTCACTCTTACTCTGTTTCTCTTACCCTTTCTCTCTATTTCTCTCTTCCTCTGTCTCTCTCTCTCTCTCTTTCGCCCCCCTCTTTTTCCCTCTCTATCTCTTTGTCTCACTCTGTATCTGTTTTTATTACTTTGTGTCCCTCTTTTTATCTTTCTCTCTCACTCTTTATCTCTCTCTCTCTCTCTCTCTCTCTCTCTCTCTGTATCTCTCTTTCTCACTCTGTATCTCTCTTTCTCACTCTCTCTCTCTCTCTTTCTCTCTCTGTATCTATTTTTCTCACTCTGTATCTCTCTTTCTCACTCTTTATCTCGCTTTCCCACTCTTACTCTGTTTCTCTTACCCTTTCTCTCTATTTCTCTCTTCCTCTGTCTCTCTCTCTCTCTCTCTTTCGCCCCCCTCTTTTTCCCTCTTTATCTCTTTGTCTCACTCTGTATCTGTTTTTATTACTTTGTGCCTCTCTTTCCCACTTTTTATCTTTCTCTCTCACTATTTATCTCTCTCTCTCTCTCTCTCTCTCTCTCTCTCTCTCTCTGTATCTATTTTTCTCACTCTGTATCTCTCTTTCTCACTCTATATCTCTCTTTCTCACTCTTTATCTCTCTCTCTCACTCTTTATCTCTCTTTCTCACTCTTATTCTCTCTCTCTCTCTGTTTCTTTCTCCCTCCCTGTCCTTCCATCCCCTCTCCCTTTCTCTCCCTCTCTTAGTGTTGAAACAAAATTCTTTGGCTTGGACTAAGCCTATCATAGCAATGAGATTGGGATGAAATTGTACGTAGGTGTTATGGGTGCTTGTGTGTTTTGGTTCTATTCTTTTCTTTTTTTTGGTGGTTTCAGGGTTTATTGGAAATATGAGTTAGAGATTTAGGTTATATTTATGTGTTGGGATATTGGATTGGTGAGTTGTTATTGTTCCTTTTGGCCGGAATACTTTTTGATTGGATTTAAGTTGTAATGGTACGAGAAAAGTGGAAGAGGAATTGGGGCAAAAGGGTCGTTCGTTTTTCAGGTTTGAAATGTTTCTGTGATTTGTGAGAACGTGTATTTGGGAGCAGAAACTGTTGCTGCAAAATTTCATATCTGTGTAATATTTAAAATTTCAGTGTATATCCATTTTTATTACAAAAAGAAAAAGAATAGAATGTTTAATTGTTATACGTGAAAATAAAATGCTCACTTTTTATTAAAAAAGAAATAAAGTATTCAATTTTTAATTGTAAAAGAAAATATTTATCTCTTATTCACAATATAAAATATTCAATTAACGTGCAAGCCATTGTTCAATATTTGCTGAGAAAGTAAAATACTCCAATTTATACTCCTAGAATTAAATGCTTCATATTTATTCATAATACAAAATGCTCTCTTCTTACCCAAAATATAAAACACTAAATTCACATTGAAAACAATGAAGTACTCAATTTTAATTCACCAAGTAGAACATTCCAGTTCTTGTTCCACAAAACAACACGTTCCACTTCTATTCCAAAACTGGAAACTCTATTCGTAAAATAAACCTACTCAATTTTCCAAAAAATCAGAAAATCCACATTTTATCTAATATCCGAAACAAAAAAAAAAAAACTGAAAAAATACAAAAAAGAAATTCATTCAAGGCTAACAAACTACACGCTGCTCCATCGTAATAATCAATAATCGGACATTAATGAACTACGGAGGCGTAGAATATCCCGACACGATTTTCAACGAACGTTACTATCGAGATTCCTGGATCACGAGCCATGTAACTAGATACGATCAATTAATTCACGAGTATCCATGACACTTTTAGCCTGAGCGTTCGTCGATCTGACCTTTCACCTACCTGTGCGAGGGGGGAATAAAGTTTTCACCGGATGAAAAAGCGCGAAATAATTCACGCACGTGTACGTGCTCGCGCGTGGGAAGGCGCATGATTTAATTAAAGGAAATTCCTGGATGCTTTGGAAATTGGAAACGCGGCCTGAACGTCGACATTTCGACGAGGCATGGAAATAAATTTCCTATCTCGTTATCGTGCGCGTATAATTAGTTCGCCGTGTTTTTTCAACGTTCCGCCGTGTAAACAAAAAATCAATGACATCGTGCGCATCACGGGCAGGATTGTATCTTATTTTTAATCGAATAATAATTCAGCCGTTCAGAGGTCAAACTCATTAACTCTAACTTTCATGCAATATTTTCCAATTTTAAAGCCAACTTTTCACTAACATTTTTCTCAAAGAATCGTTCAAAATGTTTTGCACGAATTTTTTCCGCACCCTGATTTTTGGCCCTTTTCACGCATATCTGTATGTTAGAATTCAAAAATATTACTTGGGACGAAACGTATAATTTAAAAAAAAAAATACTTTATTTCGTTTTTAGATGTTTGAATTAATATGTTTTGTTTGTAACGAAGAAAAATACCGCAAAATTTACGTATCAATTCTTTTATCTGGCCACGAGGAGCACGTGGTTAAAATTTGGTATCAATATCTCTCATGGTTTTCGAGGAAATGGTGTATAAAATTTGGTATCAATATCTCTAATGATTTTCGAGAAAAAGGTGTATAAAATTTGAAAATATTAACTATCAAACAACACCGCTACCCCTTTTCCCCATTTATTTCCTCTACGTTTAAAAATTTTCGTTTAACGATGGATTGCAATTTCCCTGCTAAAATAAATTAAATCGCTTCTCAAAGAGTAGTCGAAAAATATCAAGTAATTTCGAAGCAAAAACATAAATGTTCATATCTAGCAAATGGCAAATAAATAACGCTCGTATCACCTGATTTTAATAAATTACGTGTCATTTTAAACGGCAAATTACGAATAATACAAATGCGAAGTTCGAATAATAAATTCCGAAATAAAGTAAATTTAACCCCTTAACATATGACAACTTGTCAGACTCGTGGCAGAGATTCTGGTGAAGGTGTGACAAAAATCGTTATATTAGTAAGAAAAATTCATTGTAATCCTAACTTTCGTTTGAATTTGTAAGACTGAGGATTGCTAAACGTAATTAATCTGTGACAGATTAGTTTCTGTTATCTGATAGAGTACTAAAATAGAAAATGGCTGACGCTTAGATGTACAGTCAGAAAAGAAATCATAGGTTAAGGGGTTAATAAATCTCGTTCGACGGAGTTGGTCACGTTGGTTTTCGAGTGGCTCAATTTAAACTGTGTTAATAGTTAGGTAACTTTTCCAACTGGCTAGTATCATAGAACAGAGATGTATTGGAACTCGTGACAGCATGTTCTCTAGATTTAAGGATGTTGTGAATATGTATTCTTAGTAAGACATTGAACAGTTTCCAACAGTTCCTCGAAATTGCGAAAAATCGATCGGAATTCGATTTCTTCCGATTTAGCGGAAGAGATACGGTGTTGGAATTCTTCGAAGCCTTGAGCACTGAAATTTATTGCGATCGAAAAATAAATTGCAATTCTGTTGCTCCCAGTTGATTAGCTATGTAACATGTACATATTCTTCTTTAATTTACTTGAAAAACAAAGTAAGTATTGCGACATAATTTCTAATTATCGTAAAAACGAACGTGTCAATTATTACCATCTGTCGATTATGAAGATTTCCATCAATGGAGTTTCATTTATTCGCTGTAGAATCACGAAATACCTCTTTACAATCTGTTATACAATAAATAATTTCGGTATCTTAAATATTCCAAAGCATTGGGTTAAAAAAAAAAGGAATTTCAAATATTTTATTTTCCGCGATACAGTTTATTTCGAGATATCGTAATCACCTCTTCGCGATACTCTTATCGGCGAATTAATCGAATATCGTTCGATTCGTTTTATTAAAAGGACAGTTTCAAAATTTTCATTGTTTCCTTGCTTAACCTCACATTTTGCAGTTTTTTTATTTTATTCTACATATCGGGGTAATTGCTAGGTCGTCCAGTAAGTTCGTGCAAATGTACGTCGTTCCACAACTTCTTCCCATCTTTTTGGCAAAGCCATTACGCACTATAAAATTTCTTCGGTTTTCATTCAAATATTTTTCAATATTATCTCCTGTGCAGTCATCAAAACGTCGTAATGCACGAAACAGATGGTAATCTGACGGGTGTGCGATAAAATTTCCCAACTGAATTCGCATAATTTCTTTTGCACATTTTGTGCCATGTGCAGTCCGGCATTATCGCGATGAAAAATCACTTTCTTTCGATTTAAGAGTCCTGGACGTTTCACCGCGCCTCTTATCTTTTCTAACTGAACAGTTTCATTCCTCGAAGGTAACCTAACCTACAAAACGCATCGCGGCACGAACTTATTAGACGACCTGATATATTTAATAAAATAGATCTTCTAACTTTTAAGATCCTCCGATCGGTTTTCCACTCATCGTCAACAGATAGTCTTCGTGAATACTTAAAAATTAGGAAAAGACAGAGATACACGAAATAATGACAGTACAAGGTGTACAATTTGCAGCAGAGAAAAAAAATGCCACGCATGCATGTCGTTTAGAGTGCAGCTTTTCGGAACACGAAGCAAACGTCGAGTTCATTGCAAGCTGAACGTTCATCCATTGATCCTCCCCTCATTGTACCACACTCTTCGTATCGATGGAACACGGTGAAACTGATTTTTATTCGTTTGATTTTACAGCCATGGCGAGGACCTCATCGTCACGCCGTTCGCGCAGATCCTTGCATCTTTGCGCTCGGTCAGGAACAACTTCCTGTCGCTTACGAATGTGCCGACGAACAAGTGAGTTAAATGTTCTGCGATTATTTTAACATTATTCTTATTTAATCACGTGTCAGAGATAATTGCAGAGAAATTATTTTCATATTTGTCAGAGAATATTTAACGATGTTACTTATCGAGGTGATTATTCTGAGTTTTATGTTATTTTATTTGGTTTGTTCTGTAGAGTTATTTTCAGTTGAATTTGATTTTTTTTTTTTTTTGTAGATTCATTTGGGCCAGTTTTGAGATAGAAAGAAATAGTTTATGGATTTTATTTGATTCTTTGCAAAGTTGGGTTGAATTGAAATTTTTGTATTTCTTTTTCTAAATTCATAATTTTGTAGTTTTCTAATAGAAAAGATATTTATGATTAAACTGTGAAAGTTAGATTGACAATTCTATTTTTTCGACTGTTGAAATGCTTCAGAATACTATTTTTGATGAAAAAGTTCACATTTCATTTTTGCATCCATTAATTTCAGTATAAAATTATACTGATCCAAGTGACACGTATAAATAGAATCATTTCAATCGTTTTTTAATATCTCAATACTGACTGGTTCAGAAAAATTATATTCTATTTTACATTTCTTCAAGAATTTCCAATCTTAAATTGCATGTTATTTAGTTCTTTTGTATTAACCAACATTTTTTCCACTTTTTCTTCTCAGATCACGAAGGAGTAGCGGCGCACAGGGCAGCAGCACGCCGCAACCGCGGATCCTGGCACCGGGAGGTAAAATTCACTTAAATATCCATCATTCTAATCACATCAAATCCATTTCATTCCCATAAATTACACTTAAACAATTCTCATCCTTCCTCCGTCTAAAATCCACACTGAACCGAGTTGAATCAATCTCACTTTCGTTAAATCGTTCTCCAAGCAAAAAGTAGAATTCTTTCAACGTCCCATAAACTACAATTAAACGATTTTCGCGCCTTCTGTTTGTAAAATCCGCATTGAACCGAGCTTAATCATTCTTGCACTCGTTAAATTGTTCCTAAAGTGAGAAGAAAAATTCCTTTCGCCCTCGATAAAGTATAATTAAACAATCCCGACTAGAATTTCAGTTAGGCATGCCTAAAGACGAATGTGGGCCTAATGCGGAAACGATTAGACACACCTAAATGCTGCAAGCCTAATCGTTACCGCGTTAGGTCCTAATTCGGAAGGAATGATGCACGCCTAAGTTGGGCATTCCTAACAGTTGCCATACGTGGCCCAAACGGTGGTGGCCGAGCGCACGCTTAGGTTGGGCATGCCTAACAGTTGCCATACGTGGCTCAAATGGGGATGGCCGAGCGCACGCTTAGGTTGGGCATGCCTAACAGTTGCCATACGTGGCCCAAATGGGAATGGCCGAGCGCACGCCTAAGTTAGGCATGCCTAACAGTTGCCATACGTGGCCCAAACTGGGGTGGCCGAGCGCACGCTTAGGTTGGGCATTCCTAACAGTTGTCATACGTGGCCCAAATGGGGGCCATGTAAAAAAATCCACGTCGAACCAAGCTTAACCCTTTGCACTCCTTTGTCGAGTGTGACTCGACATCAGCTTTATTCACAGGTACTCCTATGTCGAGTCACACTCGACATTTTTAAATTGCCAGTTTAAAGCCCAAATGGGGGCCATGTAAAAAATCCACGCCGAACCAAGCTTAACCCTTTGCACTCCTTTGTCGAGTGTGACTCGACGTCAGCTTTATTCACAGGTACTCCTATGTCGAGTCACACTCGACATTTTTAAATTGCCAGTTTAAATCTGTATTATATTTCGCAATATTTTTTTCACACTTAGATAAGCAACGTTGCATGTATATGACCCTTTTTTGTAAAAGAAAAAGTGCAATTGTTACAGAAAAGTGTCATATATATGTAATGAAGCAATTGTTTACACCGCTTTCTATCAACCAACTGTCCTTTGAAGTACTTTTTAAACAACACACTTAAAGTAATGCGGAGTTATTGGAAAGAGAACGAAAGAAGAATTCAGAGTGCAAAGGGTTAATCGTTCTCTCAAATCGCAATGTAAAACCTTTCGAACCTTTTCGAGCATGAAATATTCACGGCACGATACGATTACTCGACAAAAGGAAGTCGAAGAAAACGAGATTCCGGATATTAGTATTGAAGTCCATTCTTTTCTCTTTTGTTCCGTTCGTCTTATCTCTCGTCTCTCGTGTCACGCGTCTTCTCTTCATGCTGACGTCATGCTTTCCTCTGTAACGAGCATCAGAATTCCGTTTATTCTCGCTCCTCCGCAGCACACGCCTCTTCTAATCCCTCCAAAGTCCTTCGCGGCTCTCTTTGTTTCGTGCTCGAGCCACTTTTACCGGCTCTTGTTTGCAAAAGCTGGGAAAACGCGGATGGAATCGCTTGTTTCTGTCCGGGATTTTTCGTTTATCGCGAAAATTTGTGGAATTTTCTGCATTAGCCCCTTAAACGCTCGTGCCAGTGCCTTACACGTGCACTATTAATCCTCCAAAAAGTGAAATTTTGCTGATTTATTTTCTTTCACTTTTCGTATTGCGCTATCCTTTCTATTCTACTAGTCACAGCATTAGAAATAAACGGGAAACTTATTTCTATTAACTTAGGAAATAATTGAAAAAAAAGAAATAAAAGTGACCATTTTTATGATTGTTATGATTTTTAAAATGTGAGCGTTAAGGGGTTAAACGTGAGTTTGAATTCATTATTTTGTATCGAAGATTGAAACTTGCGTCCTTCCTTCTAATACTTTTTTTTCTTCAAAACTTCGATGGTAACGTCAAATGGTTCATTTTGGAATACTATAATTGCAATCGAACGCTTAAACTTCTGCTGATTTTCATACGTTTATCATGATTCGTTGAAATAAAAAATATTTAAAAAATGATACAGTTTCATTTAAGGAACAGAAGGTAACATTCATTTCTCCGAATAAGAATGCTAACAAAGAGACTATGGTTTGTGAATGTTATGCATACTTAAATATAGTATATCTTCTGTCTAAAACAATTTTTTGTACAGCTGAAAGAGAGTC